GGGGGGGGGGGGGACACACCCTGAGCAGACCCACGGAGTGCCAGATCCCGTTCTGAGTGTTCCTATCGGGTTCTTATCCTGGTCTTGTGATTAAAACGTGTTGAAGCCTTGTCCTCAGAGGTGGGAGGGCTAGAAGGGGAGGGGAGATGGAGTCTCCTGTCCCCTGTTCTCTGCACGCCACATTCCTCTGCTCCAGGTAGGACTTAGGAAGGGCAAGCTAAGGTCCCTGTCCTGACAGCAGCTCAGAAGCTGTTAGACCTCCTTGAACGGTGCTCTGCACACAGTCACTTCTGGCAGAGGTTTGAGTGGACCCTGGTTCCAGGTGACTTTTTTTCCCCTTTATTGAGATACGACTGACGTATGAAAAACTACGCACTTAATGTATTCATCTTGATAAGTTTGAAGTTAGGGACACACCTGTGAAACCATCCTCCCCACGAATGCCATAGACATATCACTTGTTTCTGATGAGTGGCTTTCTTCCTGTGTGTTTGCTTGTCTCTTAATTATTGATGATTTACTTACCTGTTTAATATTGAACAGGTTCTGTTTTTGCATTTGATTTTCTGCTAACTAGTTCTTTTCCATGTGAGGCGTTAACATTTAACTAAGTTAAAGAGAGTAAAAGAATCTGGGGAGTGTGCCAGCTGTTTGCATATGAATTCTTTTCCCTTTTCTCCTCTTTTTTTGAAAACTTTTTTTGGGGAGTGTGGTGGGTGCGGCCAGAGGGAGAGAATCCCACGCAGACTCCAAGCTCAGTGCAGAGTCCGGCACGGGGCTCGATCCAACGACCCTGGCATCGTGACCCGAGCTGAAATCAAGAGTCAGACCCAGCCAGCCGAGCCACCCAGGTGCCCCCATTTCCTCCCTCTCAGTGGGACTCGACGCTGCTGTGTCTGGGGCGTTACACGTGGCACGTCCCACACTGAGCTCAACAGGCCTCGGTATTTGGGAGGAAGGGCGGCACCCGATCAGAACTGATCTTTGTGAGATGCAGCGCGTAATTCAGGCCCCCAAAGGCTTCCAACGTGAAGTGCGGTCACACGGGGGGCGAGACCCTAACGCACAGGTGGGCCCGAGTCTGCAGCTCATGGGGCTCCTGGCCGGATGTTGGCCCGCTGATTCCCCCTAGGGTCCCGGAGAGGCGGACAGATGAGAAAGTAGGAGGTGAGTGGGGACCACAGTGGAGCCGGCTGGCGGTCAGAGAACACGCCGGTCCTCTCCCCCTGAAGTCCCCAAGAGGAACGCCAGTGCCATCGCACCATCCACACGGCACTGGGCCGGGAGCCAGGCCCTCGCCGTCCTTGGCTGTGGGTCCCGATGCACACAGCCCTGCGCTTGCAGAGGGGAGACCCTGTGGGTGCCTGGGCTTTGGTGCTGTGTCCTCGGCCTGGGTGGACTGCAGGCCTGCCTTTCCCAACTCCTCACCACCCAGCGCCCGATGTGCCCTTCCTGGGAAATCAGTGTGCCCCAAACCGTTGTCCTGTTCCTCCGCCCCGGGAGGCACGCAGGTCAGGCTAGGCTGCAGGCCCAGCTCCCCAGGGGCCTGGCGTTCTCCTGCGAGTGTCCACAGAGGGCATCCAGGTGACCACGGGGCCTGGGGTGGAGCTCGGGAGGGCAGGCGGGTGCCATTTGAGGAGACTAGGGCATCTAGGTGGGGGCACACCAGAGGCTTTGAAAGGAAGTGTTTTGGGCTTGGGAGCCGTGGTAGGGGTGTGGGTCCCGGGGAGACTAGTGCCTGCCCCAGGACAGCCAGCAAAGGAGGCAGTGAACCCACAGAGCAGGATCAAAGAAACTTCTAGAGAGTTGGAAGAGTTTCCTGCCCTAGGCCCTGCCATTCATTTGGTGCCATCTTCTCAGTCCTGAGGAACTTTCCCTGGCTGTTTTTCAAGCTGGTGGACGGGACCTGAGCTGACAAGTCCCTGGGAAAGGCGGGAGCAAGCTCTGGGTCTCCTCTTGGCCTCCCTGGGGGTTGGGCTTCTTTCCGGAGCCTCGGGGCCACTTAAGACAGCCGCGCGGCTCGTCCCGCCTCACCCCAGGCTGGGTCAGGGAGCAGGGAGACAGCACCGAGAGCCTCTTGTAGTGGCGGTGTCATTAGCGAGTGGCTTGCGGGTGGGGGCATCTGTGAGCCTCGTTCACTAGCTGGTTTTCTTTTAATGTGGACGTTGTCCGTAATGTAGTGAGCCGGTCTCCCCTAGTCGCGGTTTATTTTCTGTCCTAGTTACATAACGCAAGGAAAAGAGAAAGGTTTCCTCCCCGTGCTCTGCATTCTGTCCCTGCATCCCCCCCACCCCCGTATCGGGGGCCCCACGGAGGCCCCCAGCGTCCGGGTGGGAGGCGGGGCGTCCTGGTGCAGGAGCCAGCCCGTCGCCGGGGTGGTGTCCTCAGGAGGAACTGGCAGCCCCGGGCTCAAGCCGCTGGCGGCGGGCAGGCCCTTACTGGGCGTTTCTAGATCATGCCATGCAGCGGACATCCGGTGAGGCTGGCGAGGCTCCGCGTGCGAAGGCCAGTGGTCCTCGTCCCGCAGGGCGGCAGTGCCCTGAGGTTCTCGAACGGGAGCACGTGGGACGTGTTGACTGCCCGGGGCCCTGACTCCTGCTGCTCGTGCCTTGTTGTCTCCTGGCCACCCTCTCTCGGGTCGCCGTCTCCGGGGCTGTCCTGCCGGTTCTTCCCGTGGCCGGTTGTCAGAAACCCTCTGCTCTCGTTCCGTAGCTCCAGCTCTCCCCCGTGAAACTGTCCGAGCTCCACGCAGACCTGAAAATGCAAGAGAGAGAGGAGTTTGCCTGGAAGAAGCTGAAGGCTGAGGGCCTCGACGCAGACGGAGAGAGAGCAGCCAAGCTCCTACGCAACCTCAGCGGTATCTTCCTTTCCTTTTCTGTGTGGGGGGAGCCCTGGCCGCTGATTCTGACGTGGTCCGGGGCGGGTCCTCCGTGGAGCAGCCTTCAGCCGTGGACACGGCTGCCGGGCCGTTTGGGGAGGCTCTCGGCAAATTGCGGGGAGAGTCAGGGCAGGGGTGCCCGGACGCACTGGCACTCGGCGGCTGACGGCCCCGGAGCTGCGTGGCCTGGGAAGGAGGCCGGGGCCACCGACTTGCCCATGGTCACCTGGCAGAGTCCATAGGGAGGTTCCCGGAGTCTGGGAGGTATGGGGAAGTAGATTTCAGGTCTGTACTGAAAATAATTTCTTTTTTTTCTTTTAAGTGTATTTCTGTAATTTGAAGGGGGGAGGGGCAGAGAGAGGGAATCCCAAGCAGGTTTCACGCTGTCAGCACAGAGCCCAACGTGGGGCCTGATCTCATGAGATCACGACCTGAGCCGAAATCGAGAGTTGGATGCTTAACCGACTGAGCCCCCCAGGCGCCGCAAAGATAATTTTCTAACAGTTCCGGTGGAACGTAGTGAGCTGCTTGCCGCAACTGTGTATTCCAGAAGAGACAGCGGGCGTCTGCCTCCGTCTCCCACTGTGCAAAAGACCTGCATCCTCGGGGCTGAGAGGTCACCTTCCTCCTGTCTGGCATGACTCAGCTCGCCGCCTGCGTGCCCCGGGTGCCCCACGTCGGCTGTGTCCTGGGGTCTGCTTCCGAGCTGACCGGTCTGCTGTCACTGTAGCAGAGAGCAGAGAGTAGGAGTCACGTCCCTGTTCGCCTGCTCGCTCCCGAGCCTGGAGGCCAACGGCGCCCTGGCCTGTCGCCTGCCCCGGGACGTGGGCGCCCTCGCCAGTCTGAGCCTGCTACAGCTCCCCACGGCGCAGCGCCGGGGCGGGGAGGGTCGTGGCTGCAGGACCGTGTGTCGCCGGGCCCGGAGGCTGCCCGGGAACGCCCCCCAACCCCTCACGTGGGGAGGCTGGCCTGGAAACACGTGGAATGCTCGTCCTGTGTGGAAACGAGAGTCCTTTCTTGAGACCGGGTGCTCTGTGTCCACTCAGGTCGCCCTGAGGTACTTCCCGTCCCTACCCACAGGTGACAGAGGCTCAGAGGGTAGGTAACTTGTCTGTAGTCACAGCCGTGAGCACCGCGGGATTTGAGGGCAGGGTTTTCTGACCCAGCTGGTGATGTTTACCCAGCTGCCCTGCATCTCTTAACCCCCTGAGACCCCTGTGCGTTGTTTGGGTCATGCTGTGCATCTGCTTCTGCGGTGAGGAAAGCAGTCTAACTACTGTTTTACATGTGGCCGCACTCGAACGTGGCAAGACACATAAAAGGCCAAGGCAAGGGGCGCCTGCGTGGCTCAGTCATTTGAGTGGCCGACTTCAGCTCAGGTCATGATCTCACGATTGTGGGTTTGAGCCCCGCGTCGGGCTCTGTGCTGACAGCTCGGAACCCGGAGCCTGCCTCAGATTCTGTGTCTCCTCTTTCTGCCCCTCCCCTACTCACACTGTCTCTGAAAAAAAGATAAAGATTAAACAAAATTAAAAAAAAAAAAAAACAACCCAAGCTGAGAGGACACTAGGCATGACTGACCCCAGCCGGTGTTTGGGGGGCCGCTCCCCAGGGCCTGACCTGGAGCTACCAGCAGGAGAGAAGGCACCGGAGGGCCCGGGAACCTTCATACGTCCTCCTTTCTGGAAGGAAGCAGCCCCCAGTGGATGGCAGCAGGGCTGAGGCAGAAGAGTGGGAGGGCGTAGAAAGGTGGGCCGGCCCCCGTCTCCCTCCGGCCTCCGTGGCCTCCTGGGTGCGGCTCCCAGCCCCAATGGGGTCCAGTCCCGGTGGAGCCATCTGTTTCTGCGTGGGTGGCACGGGTTGCTCGCATGCTGAGGTGATGTGGTGGAAGGACTCCTCGGACCGGCGAGCTGGAGGCCTCCCCCTGTGCAGGCCGCTGGCCGCATCCTGGAGGTGGCCCGGGAGCCTCCGCGTGCCCTCAGCCCCCCCCATCCCAGTGCCATTAGCAGAGCTGATGCCACACCTAGGGGACCACAAAGTGCAGTGTCAGACCAGGACTTGAGACAGGAAAGGGAGGACCAGGCGTAACCGGGTCTGTCCCAGGCTCGCTGGCCTCGTGGTGACCCTGGCCCTGCGCCAGCACCTTAGGGAGCAAACCACACTGGACCCGTCGCCTTGTCCAGGCCGTTGGTTTTGACGGAGGGCCCTCCTGTCCCAAGTTGAGTCTTGGACGGGTGGGTCCTGTTCTGTCCGCTCTGCTGCCCAGCCCTCACCATGGCCACCACAGTGTCCCCCAGTGCCCGACGGGGACGTGCCAAGGCTCCAGCGGCCTCACCCGTGAGGTGGGCTTCCTGGTCCATGGGGCCTCTTCCGGCTTGAATGCTTGTCTCTGGCTCCAGTTCATGCTGAACCCAGCACTACTGGAATCCAGAACCCTCTGCCTTCCGGGTGCTGAATGCAGCCTGAGAGTCATGTGACGTGTTCTGAGGGGGTCCGATGTGGCGTCCCCGCTCGGACCTGGGAGGCTGGGGCCAGGCCGAGCCCAACAACATAGTTCTCCCTCTTCCCCGTCGCTCCTCCCCGTGCTCGGGGGCTATTGCGACTGCTCTGTGGCCAGGTGTGCAGAGCCTGGGCCCAGGGACCTCTCGGCGCCAGTCGGCCGGTGGCCGGACGTAACACCTGTGTCTCTCCTAGTGATCCTGGCCAAGTACGGCCTGGACGGCAGGAAGGACGCCCAGGCCGTGAACAGCAACTACCTCAGCGACACCGCCGAGGACGACAGCCTGGGAGACCCCAAGCTGGAGAAGCTGTGGCACAAGGTACCCCTCGGGGCTCCCCGAGAACCCCAGAACGTGCACCCTGGCGTTGAGAGTTAAGGGGAGCTGCTGGGGCTGCCTCTGTCTGCACGGGAGCTCATTGAGAGGGACTCCTGGGGGGCAGTGGTTTCTTCGTGGACCCATGAGGCTGTTTTCCCATGAGGCCTCCCTGCCTTCCTGGGTCCCCGGCCAGGGAATCCCACGAGCCGTGTAGCTGCCGGAGTGAGGAGAGCGGGCCGATCACTCGTGAACCCCCGGGCTCACGCGTGACACGGCTTTGTGGTTTTCTGTGTCCGGGTAGTTGGGGTTTGAGCCTGTGTGGTGTCTGGTCCAGAGAGTTGCGCTCAGCGCGGGGCGGGCGTGCCGGGGCGGCGCTCACCCCCTCGTCTCCCGAGGGGGGCGGGGGCGGGCAGGTGCAGGCGGTGGGACCGGGCGGTGGCCGCGGCTCCACTCCCTCATCCCCCAGCTTCTGTCTGGACTACACTGAGTGGGGCCAGGAATCGGGATTCTCGCGCTAGTCCCTTGTCCTTGGTCCGAGGGGTGGAGCCGGAGCAAGAGCAGGGGGAGCGAGGGTCTGCTGTGGCCACCGTGTCGCCTCGGCCCTGTGGGGCAGGTGGATGGCGAGGAGGTGACTGGCCTGAGGTCCCTCCCCGGGGCAGGGGACGTCGCCTCCTCCGGGATCCTGCCGCTCCCGCACCTCTGGTGACCGTGACCCCTCTGCTGAGCCTGGTGACGTTGCTTTGTATTTTCCCGCCACGTCCCCTGGTCTGACGGTCATCGGGGAGAGAAGGGTGCACACTTGGCACGGGAGCGGGGGTCCCGCCTGGTCTGAGGGGCCGGGCCGGGGCGCGGGCAGGCTCACAGAGCGCGCTCCTCCAGGCGAAGAGCTCGGGGAAGTTCTCCAGCGAGGAGCTGGCCAAGCTGTGGCGGGAGCTCCAGCACCACAGGGAGAAAGTGCACGAGTACAACGTCCTGCTGGATGCCCTGAGCAGAACCGAAGGTGCGCGCGAGACCGCGGAGCCACCCCTGCACGCGGCCCCGCCCTCGGCCCCGCCCCCGTCCCCCCCCCCCC